GCAATGAAGATTTCTTTATTTTTATCATTTGAAAAAAATTTTTTACCATAAAAAATGACTCCATGCATTTCCCAAGTTATATTCCCAAATACATTACAAGAGCAATGCCTGAACAAATAATAATATTCAAAACACTACATTCTAAATTCAAACGACTTGAAGCTTACATGTATTAAAAGAAATTGTATGGTCTAAGTATAAAATAATGATGATAAAAATTAATTAAAAATTATAAATTCTACAGAATAGTTCATTAATACCATGCAGCTCAACAGTGAACAATTAAAAATTTCCACAGTCTAAGGGCAATAACTCTCTTGAAAACTGATTTAATAAAAAAATTAAGAAACCTAGGACATACATGTTAAGATTCAAACTTTTTTTCCTCACAAAAAACAGCATAAATTTGCACTTTTTCATTCAAAAGTTTCATAATGTCATGTTATTAATAGTAAATATTTAGAAGGAAGATGGCAAAAAAAAAATAAAAAATTCTGAACAATTCATAAAAGGTCAACAAAGTAAATAAAAACATTTTTTTTTCAAAGGTCTAAGGGCAATAACTCTCTTGAATAACTGGACAGTCATCATGCCTAAAATTAGTTCTTAAAAGCAGCTAGGAAAAACTACTATAAACTAAAACTGATAAATGGAATGGGATAACACTATGTACTCTGACCTTATGAAATACATACATCAGTATCTGAACTATGTATAATTCTATTATTACATGCATCTTCTCACATAAAGGGATACATGTACATAATGTATCACACAGCGACATGTAAAAAATCTAAATATATATAATCTAGAGATACAGAAAAGATTACAATTGCAGTACATGTAATTTAAAAAAAACCAGAAGTCTCTGTCAAGACTGTAGCTCTACTGGTTTATACTTAAAACAAAGAAAAAGAAATGTAGCAGTTGGGACTTGAAAATTTAAAACAGCAATAAAAAGAAAAATGATCCTTGCCGCTCATCAAAATAAAAACCTATCACAGTATTATGTATCTTGGTATAGTCTACTTGTGTGCCAAGTTATATTGAAATCGGACCAAAACTGTAGGAGGAATAGCATTTTGAAAAATTGTTTACAGACAGACAGACAGACAGACAGACGGACGATGAATGCATTACTATCGCATAAGCTCTTCTGGTCTCTGACCAGTAGAGCTAAAAATGGGAAAAATATAAATGGTAAAATATTTCCACTTATCCTTTCAGACTCCAAAAGACAAAAAAAAAAAAAAAAAAAAACAAGAGGCCCATGGGCCACATCGCTCACCTGAGAATCTTTTGTCATATTGTTCTTTACCAGATTTCCCCCTTGTAATACATATTGTGGCCATGCCCTACCCCCTGGGGTCATGATTTGAACAATTTAGAATCTACACTACCCCAAAGTGCTTCCACATCAGTTTCAGCTTTTCTGGCCCAGTGGTTCTTGAGAAGAAGATTTTCAAAGATTTTTCCTACATATTTCTATGTAAAACTTTATTCCCCATTGTGGCCCCGCCCAACCCCCGGGGATCATGATTTGAACAATTTAGAATCTACACTACCCCACAATGCTTCCACATCAGTTTCAGCTTTTCTGGCCCAGTGGTTCTTTAGAAGAAGATTTTCAAAGATTTTTCCTATATATTTCTATGTAAAACATTGATGCCCGATTGTGGCCCCGCCCTACCCCCGGGGGTCATGATTTGAACAATTTAGAATCTACACTACCACAGGATGCTTCCACATCAGTTTCAGCTTTTCTGGCCCAGTGGGTCTTGAGAAGAAGAATTTCAAAGATTTTTCCTATATATTTCTATGTAAAACTTTGATTCCCCATTGTGGCCCCGCCCAACCCCGGGGGTCATGATTTGAACAATTTAGAATCTACACTACCCCAAAGTGCTTCCACATCAGTTTCAGCTTTTCTGGCCCAGTGGTTCTTGAGAAGAAGATTTTCAAAGATTTTTCCTACATATTTCTATGTAAAACGTTATTCCCCATTGTGGCCCCGCCCAACCCCTGGGGATCATGATTTGAACAATTTAGTATCTACACTACCCCACAATGCTTCCACATCAGTTTAAGCTTTTCTGGCCCAGTGGTTCTCGAGAAGAAGATTTTCAAAGTTTTTTCCTACATATTTCTATGTAAAACATTGATGCCTGATTGTGGCCCCGCCCTACCCCCGGGGGTCATGTTTTGAACAATTTAGAATCTACACTACCCAAGGGTGCTTCCACATCAGTTTCAGCTTTTCTGGCCCAGTGGTTCTTGAGAAGAAGATTTTCAAAGATTTTTCCTATATATTTCTATGTAAAACTTTGATTCCCCATTGTGGCCCCGCCCAACCCCCGGGGGTCATGATTTAGAATCTACACTACCCCAGGGTGCTTCCACATCAGTTTCAGGTTTTCTGGCCTAGTGGTTCTTGGGAAGAAGATTTTCAAAGATTTTTCCTACATATTTCTATGTAAAACTTTATTCCCCATTGTGGCCCCGCCCAACCCCCGGGGATCATGATTTGAACAATTTAGAATCTACACTACCCCACAATGCTTCCACATCAGTTTCAGCTTTTCTGGCCCAGTGGTTCTTGAGAAGAAGATTTTCAAAGATTTTTCCTACATATTTCTATGTAAAACATTGATGCCCGATTGTGGCCCCGCCCTACCCCCGGGGGTCATGATTTGAACAATTTAGAATCTACACTACCACAGGATGCTTCCACATCAGTTTCAGCTTTTCTGGCCCAGTGGGTCTTGAGAAGAAGATTTTCAAAGATTTTTCCTATATATTTCTATGTAAAACTTTGATTCCCCATTGTGGCCCCGCCCAACCCCGGGGGGTCATGATTTGAAAAATTTAGAATCTACACTACCCCACAATGCTTCCACGTCAGTTTCAGCTTTTCTGGCCCAGTGGTTCTTGAGAAGAAGATTTTCAAAGATTTTTCCTACATATTTCTATGTAAAACTTTTATTCCCCACTGTGGCCCCGCCCTACCCCCGGGGGTCATGATTTGAACAATTTAGAATCTACACTACCCCAGGGTGCTTCCACATCAGTTTCAGGTTTTCTGGCCCAGTGGGTCTTGAGAAGAAGATTTTTAAAGATTTTTCCTATATATTTCTATGTAAAAACTTTGATTCCCCAATGTGGCCCCGCCCAACCCCCGGGGGTCATAAATTGAACAGTACAAAATCTACTCTATCCCAGGGTGCCTCCACATAAGTTTCAGCCTTATTGGCCCATTGGTTCTTGAGAAGATTTTTTAATGACCCCACCCTATTTTTGTCTTTTCTTGATTATCTCCCCTTGTGAGGGGAATTGGCCCTTCATTTTAACAATTTAAATTCCCCTTCACCCAAGGATGCTTTGTACCAAGTTTGGTCAAAATTGGCCCAATGGTTTTTGAGAAGAAGTCAAAAATGTGAAAAGTTTACAGACGGACGGACAGACAGACGGTCAGACGGACGGACGACGGACAAAATGTGATCAGAAAAGCTCACTTGAGCCTTCGGCTCAGGTGAGCTAAAAAGTTAATTTCCTAAATATTAATTACTCTGACAGATTGTTACACTTAATCATTATCCAATTTCTCAAATATAAATATTCCAAAGGAAGCTTAAAATTAGATATCATAAAAGTTCAAGAATAACTTTGAACTTTCTGACTGAATGAAACATTCAAAATATATTTGCTTATATGTCTTATATATTTAGGTGTAAGAGATTTAAAAGAACATATTTTTCTTTCCTCATCACAATTGTACAACTTTAAATAGAAATGGTAAACTTCGTTTGAAAACTAAATGAGTTAAGAATGGAGAGCGTCTCCGAGATCCGCTGAAACTGGTCCACGTGTTTCTTGTATTTCTTCTGCTTGTCCTGCATCACGCTCAGTAAAAACTGTATTGCACAATCAATCTACAAAACAGAGAAAAGGGAGTGTAAGGCAAAAAAAAAAAAAATTAATTTCTTGGTTTTCAGGCCCACCCTCATCTCTTCCAAGGGTGCCTCATTGACCCTTTTTATTGCTAAATCAATGAAATATAAACACCAAATCACCTCCCTCATCATTTTTTGAGGTTTTGCACAATGTAAAAAGCTGCCTCATCATGTTTTGGGGGCAATAAAAAAGAAAAAAAAAATGCCTCCCTCCCTCATCATATTTCTTGAAAAAAGGCCTGAGAACCAAGTAATTAACTTTGCATGGCCTAAGCTTCCTAGGACTTTCAAAAAAATTGACACCGAAAGTTTTGTTTTCATATATTCTCTGGCTAAGGAAATTTTGCAGTTAAATTTTTTGGAAATTTTGCAGTTTTAATTTCCCCCCAAAAAATATAGCAAAACAGCGGACATAAAGAAGACCCATCTAAGATTTTTCTACAGGAATTTACTTTATGAATATCTAATTCTAAACTATTAAGAACACACTGCTAAATATACATGTTCAGTACTAGAACTACATGTATCCTGTCAATAAAATTACCCAACTGTTGAAGTAGTTTACAATTATATCCTATAATTGTACTGAATGAAATAAACACTTATTATATAAACTTTATAATAATATAATAATAATAAGGCTTCACAAGTACTTACATTTATTAAGGGTAGATGTGAAGAGAATACAAAGAAATGAGGGAATATAAATACATATGAATGTATTAAACAATGTTCAGCAAAAAAATCAGTTCTAAACCCCTACCTCTTTTATCCTTACACACAGAGAATTCTGGGTAAAGGTCTTTCTAAATCATGTTGCTGTCAGTAACGCCAATGATGTCAAGTTTCTGGGTCCCCGTTTCTGTTGATTCTTTTTCTCTTTGGATCGGTGGTCAGGATTTGGCGGCTGATGATGGGACATTAAATACGTGGTGAAAGTCTAGGAGAATCTATAATATCAAATTAAATTCATGAAATAACAAGTACATTCAGAAAATGTGGTTCTTTGCTATTACTCATAGGTTTGGGATAAACATCAAGGTCATTGTAACTAGGTCAAGGTCATTACATAAAAAAATTGATAAAATCAGAAAGGTCCTGTCACATAGGGATCACATTTGTTGACGTTAAACATCAAAGTCAAGGGCTTGACATAAAAAACTAGAACTGTCCAAACGGGACAAAATACCCCCCGCTGGGTTTTTCAGAAGTACGTTTTTCCATAATAAAGATATGTATCACACACAAATTATGAAATTTTTCTTCCAGTGACCTTAAACTTCCCCAAATGACCTTGGGTCAAAGTCACGACACACCCTTGGGTCATGGGCAATCTTTGTGTGAAATGAGAACATACCAAGTTTATCCATAAGAAAGATATGGACCTGACACGAATTATGAAATTTTTCTTCCAGTGACCTTGAACTTCCCCAAATGACCTTGGGTCAGTCATGACACACCCTTTGGTCATGGGCAATCTTTGTGTGAAATGAGAACCTACCAAGTTTATCCATAAGAAAGATATGGACCCAGCACGAATTAAGAACTTTTTCTTCCAGTGACCTTGAACTTCCCCAAATGACCTTGGGTCAAGGTCACGACAAACTCTTGGGTCATGGGCAATCTTTGTGTGAAATGAGAACCTACCAAGTTTATCCATAAGAAAGATATGGACCGGACACAAATTATGAAATTTTTCTTCCAGTGGCCTTGAAGTTCCCCAGATGACCTTCAGTCAAGGTCACGACACACCCTTGGGTCATGGGTATTCTTTGTGTGAAATGAGAACCTACCAATTTTATCCATAAAATATATGTATCAAACATGAATTATGAAATTTTTCTTCCAGTGACTTGAACTTCCACAAATAACCTTGACCCAAGGTCATGACACACCCTTGGGTCATGGGCATTCTTTGTGTGAAATGAGAACCTACCTAGTTTATCCATAAAATATAAGTATCAAACATGAATTATGAAATTTTTCTTCCAGTGACCTTGAACTTCCACAAATAACCTTGACCCAAGGTCATGACACACCCTTTGGTCATGGGCAATCTTTGTGTGAAATGAGAACCTATCAAGTTTATCCATTAGAAAGATATGGACCGGACATGAATTATGAACGTTTTCTTCCAGTGACCTTGAACTTCCCCAAATAACCTTGGGTCAAGGTCATGACACACCCTTAGGTCATGGGCAATCTTAGTGTGGCGTAGTAGTTTCTAATGTCCCTTCAAAGAAAGATATGGACCGGACACGAATGCACAGACAGACGGACAGCTGGACAGACGGACGGACAGACCGACAGACGGACAGACAGACAAAGTGATTCCTATATCAGACCTGCCTACCCTTTTCGTTTCAAGGGTGTAATTTCAGAAAATTTTTGGTGGAATTTCAGAGGTAAAAGCGTAATCAATCATGTTTTCCTACTTTGTCGTTTTACACTTTCCGACCCACCGAAATTGTACATTACTAAACAAACCTGGCATAACCTTTTCTTTTTCGAATCATCTATTGGCAAAAAAGTGTTGTAAAATATCAGTATCTTATATTAAACTCAAATTAACCGCACACCCTTAATGAAGCATTTGGTCAATGTGTATCAGATCACTTCATTGAAGGCTTGAGTTTGCATGTTAATGTTTATACAAATTATAATAATAACACTTATTTTTCTTTTTAACACTCACATTTCTCTTTCTTCTTCAAAGCAATGTTAAAGTGAATTGACTTGAGCATAGAAGTGGGCATACTTATTGTAATATCATTTAACAGTTAAAGTAAGCATGCAGTGCCATCTCGTGTTCTTCGTCGCCCGCGTGGCGCAGTGGTTAGAGCGTCTCCTCTAAGCCGCGAAGTAAGGAGTCATCCCTAATCTTTGCCATACCAGTTTCCATATAAGTATTTGGTATATAACGTTAGTTATCAAACTGTTCCTCTATTAATTACTTTAATTAGAACTTCTCATTTTATTTCAGCTGGTTGTACTTTGACTCTTAAATTAAGACGTTTATTATGGATTTAAATCAAAATAGCAAAAGCGTAATATTTATATCAGTGGCGTAATAGCGTAATTTTGTGGTAAAAAGCGGAAGAATTCCGCCAAAAGCGGAAGGGTAGGCAGGTCTGCTATATACCCCCCCCCAAACTTCGTTTGCAGGGGGTATAAAAATTTAAAAATTCACCATAAAGTTCTTGTCACATGTACATGTAATATATAATTTTAAAAATAAAACATCTTTTGTCTTCACTCATTGAAAAATTATGATTATACAGTTAAAGATTTTGTAACAGTCAGGCTGGTAACTGACTGTTGGACAACATACTTACTTGAGTCTATATGTTAACTGATGACACGGACAGGATGTCCTTCTCTCTGGGATCTTAAGGGGGGACACCTGCTGGAAGCTGTTATACACTATCATTTGCCCTCATTCTGCCACTTCTCCTCAGTTAGAACAACAAGAGGACTGCTCAGCTGAAAAAAAGATCAATTACTTATTAGCATTGAATTAGTTTAAATGTCTATTTATTATGTTAATTGAATTAAAATGTACTGTTAGAGGATACATATAAAGTCCGTGTATAATACATGTAGCTGTAGTCTAAAGTTGGTGTGTGTTTGGTGAAATCACTAATTGCTTTCAAATACTAATAACTTGTCTGCATGTATGAGAGTATGCTCTAGAGTCGCAGAGTTAGGAGTTGATCCTTAATTGCAGGTTCAATTCCCAGTGTGGGACATGGAGACCATGCAGTTCCTCGGATAAGACAACATATGGTATAAACCATGTAAACCGAGGACCCGTGTAGAAGTAGACCGCTGGCACAAAAGAGATCCCTTGCTGCTTGTTTACCTTGATTGTCAAGCATAAGTCAGAATTTGCAGCCCCCATCAGCAAGTGAATAAACTTCCATTTTTTTAAACCAAACAAGCTTTAGGGGACTTCCCACCATCCCCAGGACCATAGTGCACTGACCTGTATGGACCTGCTGGGACCATACAGTACCGACCAGGCCCAACCTGACACAAAGCATTCCCAGAGCAGTCTCACAGCGGTCCCAGAGCAGTCCCAGTTGGCGGGGTTTATTAATTTAATGAGCTAACTCAGAAATGAGATTTGCAATAAACAATAGAACTATAAAAGGCTGTAGAAATTGATTCTGGGTAGTATGCCAGGACTTCTTACATGTATGGGAAGGTCATTTATGAACAAACTGAATGATTATTTATTGAAGGAAGAAGGGTTTCACACATAAATGTATGAATTAAACTTAATGTGAACATTTAATCACAATTATCGGGTGTATTAAATTAATAATTCAATTTCTTTATTTTCTGTGATTTATTCTGTTTCCCATTTATTTTTTATACAGAAACCGGGATACTCAAAAAGAATTAGGTTTTTAGAAAATTCTTCGTTAATTTTGCCAAGCATTATTTTCCAGTCATGATTATTTTTACTGACATGTCAATTTAATTTTTCTTAATTTCTCTATCTCTATAATACCAGAGACGTATAAGAGACTCTCTTATACGTCTCCGATAATACTCATGCAGTTTTATTAATCTATATCTCATTTACATTATACTTGTACTATTAGTTACATAGTCTTTTAGTGACAGGGTATGGGATGATACCTGGTTAGTAAATTTCATACCTGGCGCGGCGGAGCCGAGTCAGGTATGAAATTTACTAACCAGGTATCATCCCATACCCTGTCACTAAAAGACTATGTAACGAATTTACCCCACCGATGTAACATATACGTTTTATCTGTAGTTTTTAAATGGTTTTATCTGCTAAATCCTTCATCACGCTTATACTATGCCTATTATGACGTCACCTTTGTGTTTGTGACGTAATACATCGACCGGGTATAGATTACAACTGACCGGGTATGGATTTACTGTAACAGGGGTTGTTGATGAATAATAACACCTGCGGGTTCGTTTATATTGGTTTATTATGGAGTCATCTGATACAAGAAAATCATCATGATCATCATGATCATAGCCCTGAAAATACAATACATATTTAATCAGGATATAACAATAACTAATTTCACATTATAATAAATCATAAAACATCAATACATAGCATTTGAGGAATTCACAAGTTATTCCCCTTGAATCAGACTTTTATAAAATACCATGAAATACATGTAAAGCTGATATTAAACATTCATATAGAAAATAGATTCTTTATGTTGACAATATAATAAATGGAAATTATTATTAAATATCACATTTACAATTCTCAGAATAAAATAGTAAATCTGTATTGCAAAAATATATAAATTGGTACCTATTTGTGGAACAAAGCTTGACTCCTAGCTTCTTTAAATAAGTTGCAGCAGAGTATATCAGTATAAGCAATAAATAAATAATTCTGGACTCTGCAAAATAAATTTTATCTCTCACTCCAAAAATCTCTCATTCAGTTTATTAATTTCAGAAATCAGAAATTATGAATATAAAAGTATTTGATTTTAAGTTATGTATTTTAAAAAGTAAATTATATGAGTACTTACAGTTTCTTTGAAACAGTCAGTCAAATTTCATAAATTAAAGATCATTTGCAATAGCATGTTAACTCATGCAAAGTCGCTGAAAAGTGTCTTTGTCTATTGTCCAGAATTTGGAGGTAAAAGTCTTGACCAATAGGATTTAAGGAAATTGAATTCTACTCAGGTAGCTTATTACAGGTGTAGAAATAGAAAAGGAGTGGATCTAAAGTTTTAAGCTGATTGTTTATTTTATTTCATTTAGGTTGTTTTATTTAGTTATTTAAAAAGTATTTTATTTGATTAATTATTTAAGTGAAAGGTTTCAATATTTAAGTTTAAATTATTTGTTTGGGTCAATATTGATTGACAAACAGATTTAATACACTTTAGAGTTTAAAATCAGTTGTGACTAATTCATAAATGTATAATTATTAAATTATACATTTGAATATGATAATATTTAAAATAGTATAAAACTATCACTATTACATTTTCCCCCCCCGTTAGCAAATGACGTCCTCGTCATTCATTAACGATTATAGGAAAGTAAATACTGAAGATTAAAAAAAATTGACTCTATGAATTGAATAAGATTTACTTACTCAATAATTTACAGCAAAAAAAAAAATTCTCATGTTAAATTATCACTGAAAGCTATTTTCAGCAACATTATGGTATACTCTCATATTGCTCATATATTTCGATGTGCAATCATAATGTTGAAAGCAATTGTACGGCATAAAATACCACATTCCTCCTCTGATGCGAAATGATGTACTATCATTTATAATAAGATTACTAAGAGGAAGTATGCTCTGTATCAATCTTAATTCACCGACTAAGATGTACTCATTCAATACTAAATAAATTAATCACAGAATTAATGAAATTCTAACCACATAGCTCATTAAATTTTAAAGAGCAATTATAATTGTGTATATCAGTTGATTGTCATAAAATCATATTAAAAAAACATTCAAGACATAATCATAAAAATTTATTTAAAAGATTACTTGTCAGCAGACTCAGTTATGACCTTTATTAAAGCATCAGAAATGACTTTCCCATCAACATTTTGGAAAATTTTTGTATCTGCTAAAGATTGTAAATACTCTGCTTTCATTTTCCAATCTGGTTGATGGATCTGTGATAATACATATTCGTCATTTCTCATCCATTGTGGTTTTGACCTTGACCTTGCAGACCTTCGCAGTATGTTGTTTTCATTTTCTGACCCTGACCCTATTTCACCAGAAGATTGAAGAGTTATTTCCCTTGTATTTCCTGAACTTTTACTGTAGCATTATTGTCAAGAGATATCTCGACATTTGGACTACTAGGGTCTTCAAAAGTACTTGTTTTATTTGACCCAGAAATAGAACTTTCAGATGAAACTGAATTTCTATGCAAATCTGGAATATGATCCACTTCCGATTCGGTATGTGGTGTCATATTTATATTTTCATGTTCTCCAGCTGGATTAATATGTACAATTGGCTCAGTAGCTGCAGAATTGTCAATATTTTCGTTGACATCTACTGGCACTTGTTTTGTTGTACTGTATACAATAAAGGATTCATTTTCTGAATCACTATTTGAGTCCTCGGTGTGGACATCAATATTCTCTTTAGAGGGTCTTTTTACAGAAGGATCTGCTTGATCGTCTAATGTACTTTTTATCTTTGGGACTGGTTTTCTTTTCCTAGGAACTGGTTTAGGTTTCTGTACCTCATTATTGTCACAAGATGAACAGATGGGAAGTAATAAGTTTCTATGTAAAACTCTTGTCTTTCCTTCCCCATTCTGTTTTTTAACTTTGTATACAGGGATATCTTTATTTGGTTGATTGATAACAATATAAGGATCATTTTCCCATTTGTCAGCCAATTTATGGCGACCATCGAAAGCAACAATCTTAACCAAAACGAGATCACCTGGTTCAAGTACACTACTTTTGATTTTTACATCATAATGCTTCTTTTGTTTCTCATGAGACATCTGTATGTTCTTTGAAGCAAGTTCATAAGAATGTTTCAACCTTTTTTTCAAAGATTCAACATACTTGGACATTGATTTCTTTTCACTGGAAGTATGATTATCAAACAAGATATCTATGGGTAGATTTGGTTCTCGACCAAACATCAAATAAAATGGAGAATATGATGTTGTATCTTGTTTAGTACAATTGTAAGCATGCACAATTGGTTTAATAAAAGACTTCCAATCTTGTTTTTCATTAGGATTTAATGTACCTAGCATAGATATTAGAGTACGATTAAATCTTTCACACTGACCATTACCCATAGGGTGATATGGCGTGGTTCTAGATTTCTTGATACCAAGTATGGAACATAATTCTTTTATGATCTTACTTTCAAAGTTTGCACCTTGATCTGAATGGATCTTGTGTGATATGCCATAATTTAATATAAAGTTTTGATAAAAAGCTTCAGCTGTTGTTTTAGCTGTCATATTCTTTGTAGGGATTGCCATAGCATACCTAGTAAAGTGATCTGTAACCAGTACATTTGAAATTGAAAACCACCTTTTGATTGTTCTAGACATAAAAAATCAAGACAAACAAGCTCTAATGGTTGAAATGTTTTAATATTTACTAAAGGAGCTTTCATATTTGTTGACGTCTTTCTCCTGATACATCTTCCACAATTATGGATATGGTCTTCAATGTCTCGTGTCATACCATGCCAGAAAAATCTGTCCTTTGCAAGTGAAAGTGTTCTATCTCTTCCTTGATGACCCATGTTGTTATGAAGATGGAATAAGACATGGCTTATAAGTGAAGATGGTATCACAAGCTGATGTATAGGACCTTGCTCAGTCTTTACTTCTCTGTATAACTTGTCATCAATAATTTTGAGTTTGTCAAAACATTGAAATAATGTCTTGCTATAAGGGGTTGGGGGAATTTCATATTTGCTTGGTTTGTATTTGTAATAAACTTGGTCA